GCACAACGCAGTTTTAAATCAGATTTTTAATGTTACACTTATATTTTGGGAAGTGGTTTTGTCTTTCTCTTAGAACCATCATTGTTTACATAGGCACGTATATTTATGCTGTAATTGCTACACCAGTCTCTCCCAAATACCTGTGAATCTTTTCCTAGGTGTAGTCACTCTTGGTTTTTCACGTGGACTCAATATAATGAGATGAAATTCATATTGTCTTGATTTAAAGATTACATAATGTCTGTATTTGGTGATTTTTTTCATTTGGAGACAAAAGGGAGTTCTCATGCTGAGCTCTTAGGCACAGACAATACAAAGTTACTTTCCCCACTGATCATTTTACTTGAATAGTTCATGAAGAGCGTATAGAAAAATTTGAGAGACTGCCATTATATGGTATAGCGCCAGCAGGAGCAAGACAGATATGGTAACTTCAGTACATTACCTAATTGTAGGTGAACTGCTATGGATTCAAAAATGTGGATAATGTGGATGCTTTTCATTCAAAATACAAATGTGTATCTATACTTCTCAGGTGAAATATTGGGTCTATGCAACTGATATTTTTCACTTATGTCAGTAGTGATCCATAACAGCAGTGAATATGATTTCAAAATCTAATGTATGAATAAGCTTTGTTATATTTCTGATACTGACTCCTGCCAGTCAGATTGAAACACTATGAAAATGGTTATTATGAATACTTTGACACTTTCCTTTTCACCCAAGACCAGTAAGTATAGACACACATACGTATGTATCACAGAGAATATGAATTTTTACTCATCTGGGTTTAAGTCTATTTTAAACAAAAAAATTATAGAGATGAGCAACTGTACAATTTGAAAATGACAGTAAATATCTTTCTGCATCTTTAGAAAGCTATGTAAATTATTCTTTCCTATTCTGTCCATCTCAGTATTTTTTATGTCCCTCATTGCTACATGTTTTCAGTTCTTCTGCACTGTTTTACAGATTTTATCCTTTTAACAGCTTTTCAAGGCAAAATACATCCTCACCATTTTAAAGGTGAGTTGGGGGCATAGCATGAGTTAAAGGGCTTCCCTAATTCTGTTGTGACAGAGCTGGGACTCAAAGTCCAATTCTCCACGTCCTAATTCAGCCACAGCAACCTTGCTCGCTAGTCCACCACGATGTCAACTTGCTCAGTCTCTTACCCTGTTATATATAATCGTAGCAAAGCCTAAGTGCAGAATCAGTCAGATATTGCATGGGGCCAATGCCACTGTACCACTTGTTTTCTGTCGCATCTCTTTGGTCTCTGTCCAGTGTGACTTGAGCAGCCTCCAGATACGCGAGGCTGAAAACTGCAAGCCTGTCTAAACTGCTCACCTTAACTCCTGTCAATGCCGCACATCAAACTGGCACAGATGGGTCGTTCAGCGCAGATTTGGCACTGGTTCATTTTGTCTTCCTCCTCGTTCTGTTAAAGCGTAAGAGCCAAGACCCCTTGACTCCACATGGGAAAAGTCTGGCAGCTACCAAGCTCTGGAAGTCCTTGCCAAGAGCAGCATCTGACTCTGTGCCTAGATGCCTGGCTGCTCTCCTACGACGCCCTGGGCTATTGCACTGTCGGCTGTGAAATTCTTTTTGTGGCTAGTGCAAGGTTGTGGCTCTGATTAGGTTTCTACGTCCATGTTATCACCACTGTTCTGTGTAACGATCTTCTGTGCTAATCAAGCTGACAGCCACCGGCACTATGCACGGCTGCCAGCACCCCCAGGAGGTGTTCTCTGAATTATTTTCCTGTGTTACAGGAAGGGAAAAATGCCATTTATAAATTTTAAAGTATTTCCATGTATTTGCGACTTTATTTTAGTTCTGCACCACATAGACCACGTGCATATTTTGATTTGTGTTCTCTTGTTCTGCATCTATAGCCTCTCTGCATCTGTTGGTAGGTCTATATTTAAGGTGTCTACTTAAACTCTGCAGCAGATGATTTCCAGTCTAAGGGAATTGTTTTTTTACTTCCTTTGCAATACCTGGCTTATAGATCATGCACGGGCATGAACCTAGTGCAACGAGGTCACAATCACAGTAGGTTGCACCCACTTGCCCATGCCCTGTTGTCATAGAAACCCTTGGGAACTGTAAGCTGCTGTCATTGTTTAAAATTTTAAAAATCCCCAACAAAATACACAAACTCCACAAAGCAGCTCTAAATTTCAGTACTGCAATGTAGAATAAGTCCAAAATAAACAGTAATTGGCACACCGGAGAACATAGTTCTGTGATACATCCGTACGGATGTATCAATGTACTTGAGATTTTCAAAACTGAGGAGGTACGTGCAGGCACGTTAAGTTCATGTGTAACCACCTAAAAAAATGGTCTGATTTTCAAAACTGCTGTGCAATCAGCAGATCCCACTAAAGTCAAAAGTAGGAAGTGAAACTTTGTGTTCTATACTTCTGAGTTTTTATAGTGCCTTTCTTAATGAGTCTATTCTAAACCTTTTGCTAGCAGAGCCCTCAAAAAAATGAGCAAAGAACAATCATCTTGACTGTACTGCAATATACTCTTACAATAAGTAAAAAATGTGGCAGCAAAAACAAAGTACTACTTTTACAATATCTTGTGCCAAATCACAGGTTATACAATTCAGTTTTTTATTTGCACAGCCAACAATGCTTTGTAGAGCAATCAGGGAAGATAATACAATCCATTTTAGATTCTCATTACTTTAGAAGTGTTGAATCTTCTTAAATTGTTTCGGGGTTAATTGAGAATTTGCAGTTTTACAATAGACTAGGAATTGTTTAGGCTGCCCTTGTTTCATATTTTTGTGCATACCTTTGTTGCAAAGTTATAAAAACAACAATAAAAAAGAAACAAAGAAGTGAAATGAAATAATGATCTACATTGTTACTATTCTAGTAACTCATTTTTATGTGAGATAAAGCTCAAGTATTGATTAATGTTTAAATGGTTATTAAGTGGAAGGACATGTTGGGTTGATGGAATATCTCACTATGCACTAGCTTTGCTTTTTTTATTCTTTTCAACATATTCCCTAAGGGATAATTTCTGCTTCTGGGGAAGCTGGTGGTGAAACTCTGAGTACTTTTGTGGCAACATGAATAAGCTAAGTGTTTTCAGTATTTGTCTCTTTTTCTCATAAATTCCAAAAGGTTCTGGTTTCCAAATTTGTCCTTTATTTTAGTATGATAATAGCTCATAAAATTCACTGCCTGAACACGAGTGCGTTCCTATATGCCATGGAAAAGTCAGCCTGGTTCAGCACCCTGAGGAGGCTGCATTTTTCAAGCCTTGGTAAAGAACAGCAGTCATGTGGACCATGTTGTGTTAGTACCTCTGAAATTAGCCATGCTCATCTTCTGTAGGATAAGATCACTTCCCCTGGAGGTACATCAAAGAAATCTTGAGGCAATTGATGATTTTTCTGGTGAGAGGTATTTCTGATGAATTTAAGAGAAGGCTTTCTACTAAAAGCAATTTTATTATTCAAAGACAAAACTAAGTATTCTTTTCTTTGGACTATCGTTCTTTTGAAATAAGAGTATTTTATCAATCTTTGAAGTATATATTCTATAGAATAGTTTATTTAAATGGACCTGTGAGCCACATGGCAAATTCATTAGGGATTCTGGAGCCCTGTGCTTTCTAAGGCATAAATTCAAGGCTTGCCCTGCCTCCAGCTAATACAGTTGTAATGGATACCTGCTCTGTGGGCTGGGAAAAGGTGGCAATGTTTCTGTCCTGTATATCTCAGGCCTGAGTACCTGTATGTGCACTGCCTCATCAATGCATGAGGAAACCACTTTGCACAGAACTTTTCCCTTTTTAACAATTAAGTTTTCTTCCTGTTAAATAGTGTGGTGTCTGTGCCCCAAATTTTTTATTCAAAGGCTAGGATAAGTCAAATCCATTCTAATCTTCCCTAACTCACATGGGGAAGAAAAAAACATCTTCACTTGATGACACCTTCCTGTGGCATTATTTCAAATGCTGGAGGGGAGGTTCCTGTCATGAGGGATGGAAGAGATCTGTTCCTCAGTTCATCCAACAGTCTTTTACAGTGCTGTCTTAATGACAGAATTTAACCTTGAGCTGTGCACTAAGTCATTTGCAATTGTTTTTCTTTCACCCTCAGCCGAGGATCAGACCTACTGCTCACACACAGTAAAATTTGCTGCATCAACAATGAAAGACGCTGATGGCCGTCTTGGACATCTAACAGCTCAGAGCTGTGGCTCTGCTCACCGTTCCGAGATCGCAGCAAAAATCCAAAGCTCTCAAACTCTGCCTGATCAAAACAGTGACAGTGAAAAAGCAGAAGCTACATGGGACCTAGAGGTCTGAAACGAGGACTGGGGGGAGAAAGGCAGCTGGATAGGACAGCCGCACGTTGCCCCCTCGTTGTTAGCTATGATAATGGACATCCCTTCACAGTCTGCGAGACTGGTCTAGCAACTAATCACAACTTATTTTCCTGCTTTCCAGAGGGCACAAGAGACCGAAGCAAGCCTTTGAAATAGGCATTCAGTGAGACCATGACTTTCTTTGTTGGCCTGCAATTTATTCTTTCCTCTTCTAGCAACTGCCATTTTATTTCATTTTACTTCCTTCCACCCCACCTCTAATAATCTGTTATTTTTTATTATTCCTTAAAGAAATTGTTGCTCTGATATTTGGCAGCATTATCGCATAGGACACCTTTCAGATGAAAGCCACTATGAGGCCCTGGCTAAGCACATACTTATTAAACAACAGGTTTCATGCCAATTACTTATAATTGAAAATGTCTGTGGTAGATTGTAGACTGTTTATGACCTATAACAATTCACTACAAAAAAGATAAACGGGTTATTATACTAAGTATTGATTCTATGATTGGAGTTTTCATTTAAAATATTAACACATTTCATTGGAGAGGGAATTGATACTAGTTAATTCAGCTCTGTCTTGTTATATTACTAAATATATTTAACTGAGTATAGAATTAGGCCCTAATCATGGACATTCTTACGTTTATTACTTCAGTCAAGTAGGGCAGTTCTTAGTGCGTAAACTCCACAATCTCTCTAAATGTTTCCAGTATCAAGGTCTAGATATTTGTGGTGATTAATGCAAAGGAAGAACAATAGCAGATTTTGTATTGAGGGATCTTGACAGACAGCATTTTCAAATCCTTATTTAGACAACAAGTATATGGGTGAATTGTTCCAAGATTCTGAGCATCTATTTGAAATCATCAGAAGCAGGAAACTACAGATCACAGACTGCAGAACAAATGTGTGCAAACTGGGTCTGCATATAACCAGCTCCCACTAGACCTAATGAATCCATAGTCTGACTCTCTTTTTGCTACCATACCCCACATTTATTACATTTCTGGCCCTACCCAAAATAACTAATTGTAAGAAAAAAAAAATGAAAAAACGTCCAAAAAGAAGTAAAAAAACATAACTCCTAGTCCAACCAGAATTTTGAGTCTGGAAAAAGGAGGACTGTGAGAGGATTCATGAAGTCTGTAAATAGCAGTGTTGATGCAGAGGTCCATTGAAAGTGTTCGAGTACTCTGGCTGTATAACACAGCCGTAGGAAACAGGTCCTCCATAATGTTTCAACTATTGATTTCCATACTAAGCTTTGGGACATACGTATCCAAAGACATTGCCTCAAGTCAAATAAGCCTAACAATAACAAACTATCTCAAAGGGAAGGAACAAGGTTTAAATTGTGTTTTTTAAGTATTAAGCGATCCACCGCATGAAAGCCAGTGAGTGCAAAGACATATTCTTCTGTAATTGTTTTATGTCTAGATGTATAATCCGTTAACAGCTTCTATATATTTTTTTTTTTAGGTATTCAGTGTACAAGGATCCAGCAGGTTGGTTAGAAATTAACCCTACCAATGGTACCATTGGCACCACTGCTATCCTGGATCGGGAATCTCCTTATGTTCAGGATAACATATACACTGCTCTCTTTCTGGCAATAGACAGTGGTGAGTAACTATTGTCAATCATATTCATTAAAGTATGTGACTTTTTTCCCTGCTTGAAATTTTCTATTCAGAAAGGTGCACAGGTAAAGTTAAGCATACCATTCAGCACTTTGCTAGGTGGCCACCTAAAGGTATTAGAGATCATTGTGTGAAACAGAAAATAGAGGAATTAACTTAAAACTTCAGACTTAGAACAGCTTTGATTTAAGGTTACGTCTCACAGATTCATTCCTACACCAAGATCTTAATGCTAAATGCAAATAGTTTATGAGCATTCTTGGAAAGTAATAAATCATCTTTATGAGAGTTAATTTCTTCATAATATTTGAGCAGTTAGTAAGCCTAAGGCACCTAAATACCAGTAACAACTCATACCTGATATGCTGAATTCTATTCTATTCAATACAATGACAATAAAAGCATAAGTAAAAACCCTTGTTAAAATGCAATATTTTTTACATATTGTGTGGATTAAAGTTCCTTCTGTCAAATGTAAACAAAATCAAACTATCTAGTGAAAATTCAGTGAGTGACTTTGGAGCAGAGAAAATCCTGAACATTCCAAATCTCCAGTGCTAAAGGCAAAAATTAAATAAATACAGATTTGTCTGTAATATAACAGCTAATATGCTAACGCTTTTTCACAGCTGCAGCTGGTTTAGCCCTGGTGATGAATTGTAAAATGTTCTTTTAGGAGAGTAATTCTACATTTTTGTAACTACATGACTCAGGGAACATTTGCAGGGCCTGACAGGAAAAAGAAAATATCGCCTTAAGTATAAAAGAAAAAAAATTCTGCTGAGATGATGATTTATTTATATATTCATATACTTTTTTTTTTAGGACATTTCCATGGAAAAACATAGCAGTAAACTTATTTCTGTCTTTTACTTGCTATTGGGTAAAGATTTTTTTTAAATGCAACTTTAAAGCCTGGTACACTGGGAAATGTCATCTCACAATGAAAGTAATAAATCAGGATCATATTACTGGTGGGTTATCAAAAGGACAAAATTGTGTATGTTTCAAAGGTGTTTTATCCTCAAAAAGAATAGATGGAGCAAGAAGCTGAATATTTCCAACTGTGGAAACCAGTCCAAATGAAAGTGGATTTTCTGGTATACCTTTATGTTGCGCTTAGGGCAGTAACACGCCTTGCTCATCTATTCTAAGCCAAGAACCTCACTGCTGGGTGACCCCTCTTAATTCCCAGAATTTTTTCCCTTCTGGAAAAAAAACAGAAAGGAAAGGTGTCTGTGTGCTGAACAGCAGAGTAAGAGAAGGTATTTAACACGGGTTAAAGAAAAGGGATATTGTTCAGCTAAGGTACTGGGTCTAATTCAAGCTGTTGTTACCGTGTTTATTTGTAATTCTGCAGTACCGTTAGCACGGGAGCTAATCTACTTCCACATTATTGACTTCTTTGAATGAAGTAATTAGAAACCACATGTGTGCATTTAGTACTGTCATGCTAAGGTGTTAATAATGATCATTCAGGAGTATTGTACTGTTTCACTGTATGCAGCTCAGACACGTGCAGAAGTGGCAGTAAATAGCAGAACTTAAATAGCTGATGTTAAACCTTGTGGTCTGTATCACCCCTGGATTAATTACCAAACCGCTTGTGAGACACGTTAAACTTACAAGCGGGCAGGTAACTGGAAAAGTTATCTGCTGGTCTGTATAAACATGTACGAGAGGAGTTTGTGGGAGTTGAGAGGAGCAGGAGGACCAGTGTCATGCACAGCCTCTGGTCGCTCCTTCCAGGCAGCGGTGCCGGGACCCCCGCTTTGCGCTGGGCAGGGCTGCGGCAAGACAGGCGAGCTTCAGATCACGCCCCGGCCACGTGCGGAGGGGTTGCTTCTTCCGTTCGCAGAGGGAACAACGCTGCCGTTGCACATAGGTGCTGCTAGTCTGAAGTTTCAGTCTAGGCTCTGTGGCTAAAGCAGCCAAGCAAGTTTTAAAAATCGATTTCAATGGGTAGGTTTGGGGGTCTGCCTCGTCCCCTGCCATTATGACTGAGACTGATAACATCCCTGGAAGGTGTTCCCCTACTTATTTCCAGGCCACTGATAATGCTAACTAGAAAAGCTGTGAAAACCACATTATTTTTCTAGCCATCATAGCTAATGTCCATCTTGAAAAGGGGTATTATATTAGGTGACCAGACAAATTGTGATAGAATTGTATGAAATTAATACAGAATTCTTTCAGGACTTTAAAAGAAGTTTATGTTAACTTAAAAAGGAAAAAAATCAGATTGAACATAACTGTATGCATTCTCTTTAAAACAGCATTGTCCACAAACTGTAAATCTCTTTCTTCAGGTTAATAAGTGTAGCCTATCTAATACCAGTGAATATGGTTAGGACTTTTCTGTGAGAGGGCAGCCAAAGGCAGGATTAAGAATTGCCAAATGAGATAGGGTGGTAAATTGAAAATTCAGAGGCATTTCCAATAGAGCAAGTCATTTGCTTGGGCTAACAGACAGGGGCAAGAAGGGAGAGTCAAAAAGACCCCATACTGAATCAGAGATGCTTTTTTCAAAAGCATTCAGTGCAGGTCATTGTTTCCTTCGGCCTTTCATCTTCTCTCTAAGTCAAATCTGAGATGTGTTGGCACATGCACTGAGGAAGTTGGAGCTGCCTTAGGCTTTCCTGTTCTTAGCTGGGGAATACAGAAGAGCGCAGGTAGCGTCCACGGCACAGTGCGGCGGCGTGGGTCGGCACCCAGCGCGGCTCCCGGCGCAAGGCAGAGCACCCCAGTCCGGCCCCAGCGCCACACTGGCGCTTGCGAGGCTGCCTAGACGAGCCAGCTCCGCTGGAGGCCTGTACGGCCATGGGGCCACAGCAGCACGCCTAATCCATCTTCCCCCGCCTCCGGTTCCCGAGAGCGTAGCAGGAGTTTCGGCAGTGTCGATGTTGTTAATTGTCAGTATAAGGGATTGCAAACATGCTGCTTACTGTGGCAGGGTGTCTGGGAGTTGTGCGCTAATTTTTAACAGTATTTATAAGAAGTCGAAGTTCTAAAATCAGATGAAACCTTGGACCTTGATAAAGAACCTTAAACATACGCTAAAACAGTAAATAAACATATTATTTTCTATTTGTATTCATACCTTAAACATACGCTAAAACAGTAAATAAACATATTCTTTTCTATTTGTATTCATAGCATATAAAATTTATACGATTACAGAACAGATACTGTCGTCCCATCGTCACCTCTTTTTAAGATGACCTTACATTTGTGTGCTATCTTGGGTGAGGAGTGGAGAGAGCTGAAAACAAAACTCACGGCGATGCTTTTATCATACCCTTTCACTGATGTCAGTAGAGAATCTGTCACTGGATTCAGCAGGCACTGGCTTCTTGTTATTACGCTTCAGTGCAGGGGACAAGTGCCAGGGCATTTTTCTTATTTGTACCATGTTCAAGATTTCTGTCAGAAGTAAAACCAGAAGCTTCATGCTTGGTAGTTCTTTATATAAACCCATCGCATTTTTATCTTTTTTCAGTAAGTCACAGAACTGTTCTTTACCAGTAGGACAGCAACCATGAATGGACCATAGAAAATGGAGTCATTCCACTGCAGGAAATTATTTAGTTGTTTATGATACTCTTTTTAACTTTGTGATATGGTTTTTCAGCATTATCAAATTAACTGCAGAGAAGGGTAGTTAAGTATGAATTGTTTCTGATCTAAACAGTTCCTGTATCTTCCCAAACAGAATTGACACAATGTGTAAGAGCAAATTTGATGGACACAGTATTAATTTTATAGATAATAAAGTTTGACCTTTATTGGGGGGGGGGGGAATTTCACTTTAAAAAGGACTTTTTGGAATGAATATCCTAATTTTCTCTGTACTTTTGATTTCAGTAAAGGTCAAGGCAGTGTCTTTAGAATTTGAAAACTTTTTATTAAACACTTGTGTGGACAGAGAATCTGTGATTTGTTAGAGAAGAAATTACACACTGATAGGAAATACCACAAAGCAGAGTTAACACACTAAAGTATCATGAACTGTGTTTGATCTGAGAATGAGCTCATAATGGGACAAAGTCAGGTTTAGGCAGACTTGGAAAACATCGGAGGTTTCATTCAATTAACAAAAGTGCCAATAATGATGATAATTTTATTTCCTGAATTTAGCATCCTAATTACTAAAAACAATGCAATATCACAAGCATACAGTGCAATTATTGGGAGTATATCTGTACAACACATGTATGTTAAATACAGACAAGAAATCATTTGAGTTTGAGAAATCTGCCTGCAACAGACCTTCCAAATTTGCTACGCAACCATGTTGTAGCGTCATCCTACAGATTCTGTTACACACGGGAGTATTTGGGATGACTATTGTAAAGCAGAATACCTGTGTGTTTTTCTTGTAAGGTCAGTTATGCTAAAAACTCTCCAGGAATGGTCTTTTTTTCCCCTGTATTCTGAGGAAAAATATGTGAAAGCTAAAATTTGTTTCTCCTTTTCCTTTAAGAGGGAGAAATAATAAAATATATCCAGATTTACCTTCGTTATGCAATAATCACTCATGTTATTGCAGAGGGGCATGATACCTCATTAATGTCCCCATTGTGTAACTTTTTTAATCTCTCTAGAAGAAAAACTTTGGTTATCTTTGTTTGCCAGATACATGGAAAAAACACCTGTGCTGTTGGGGTATGTCAGCTGCTGGTGACAGATGATGAAGAACTAATACCCAGTCTTGCTGATTTGGTTAAATGTAGTTATCAACTTCACCTTTCTCATGCCACTCTGGTGGAGCAGCACCCAGGCAAAGCCAGGTAGCTGTGGTCTCCTACTGAGACACATACTCTTGCCTAGTGTACATGTGCCACCTTCCTCCCTGGCTGTTCTCATCAGCTGGGAACTACTGAGACAAAAAGTGACACTATAAGTACTTCTACTACATTAAATATAGAGGAAATGTCATTAAAAACGTGGCATCTCTTCCAGATGTTAAAGATACTCAGAGA